CTTCAAACCATGATCCTCCTGATTTCTACCTCTCAAGTAGCAAGGTTTATAGGCATGAGCTCCTGGCACCTGGCCTATATCTGGAGTATTTTTTTGCTTTCTTTTTCATTTTATTTTTAATATTTTTTCTTATTATTGTGCTGGGGGTACATTGTGACATTTACCAAAGTTCTTACAATATATCATAGTTGAATTCACCCCCTCCATCATTCTCCTTTATCCCCCCACCCATTCCTGGAATCATTTCAACAGGTCTCATTTTTCCATTTTCATACATGAATACATATTTCCACCCATCTGGAGTATTTTTAAAGAGAAAACAAGATTGAGTTCAGTTCAAATAGTGACTCACTGCGTACTGTGGATCATACTGTTAATACAATTTTAAGGCATGGGCCCTGGTCTTGATCTGGGGTCCAGTAGAGGGAAACAGGCTTCTTAACTAAGTTCTGCACAAAGGGCTTTTGAAGCAGAGTACAATTTCCCTCATAGTAGGAAGCCAGGGAAGGCTTTCTGGAGAAAATGATACCTAAAAATAGGAGTTAGCCAACAAAGGCTGCAAAGAGAACCTTGCCTACAAGGTAACACTAAAAGGATTAGAAACATTTCTCCTGAGAAGTTACTAAAGATTTAAAAACTGAACATATGAGAATAGTTAAATGAACTTTGTGGCTCCTGAGATAAGACAAATGAAGCAAATTTCTGTCAGTGTATGAATATTCATTCAGCAAAACCCAACATTAAAGCATCCCAACATACTGCAGATTCAAATGTGACATAATTGTGATTGACTTGTTTAAGGTTCACATGATCATTACATTAACCCACAACATGACTACATTTTTACAGAATTGAGGGTTGTGGGTCCATCCATATACTAAAATCCTGCCACACAGTGCTATATCAGTTAGGGCTGTCTAAATGAGAAGAAGCTGTATAGGGAAATTGGAAACTCTAGAGTATGTTCTTTTTTTTTTTTTCTTTTTGTGGTACTGAGGTTTGCACTCAGGGTCTACACCTTGAGCCGTGCCACCAGCCCTTTTTTTTTCGAGATGAGTCTCAAAAACTATTTGCTGTCTGGGCTGGTTTTGAACCGTGATCCTCCTGATCTCTGCCTCCTGCGTAGCTAGGATTATAGGCATGAGCCACTGGCTCAGTATGTTCTTTTGTTGTTCTTCTTTTATGTTTTTTGGTAGGCCTGGGTTTTGAACTCAATGCTTTGCGCTTGTAAGGCAGGCACTCTACCACTTGAGCCATGCCTCCAGTCCTACCGTATGTTCTTAAATATAGGCTGGATGTTAATTTATCAGGAATGCTGCAGAGGGATGATCAATTGAAGATTGGAGATGTTCTCCAAGGTACATTCCACCTCAGATCTTGCAGCCCTCAAAAGAAAAAGAAGTAACATACCACACTAAAGTTTGTTTCTTATTAAAATTGGCAGAACTTGTCAACTGACACAAAGTATGTTATTCAAATATACTTTTACTTATGGTTACAAATATCCCCTAAAGCAAAGCATCATTTCCAGTTCAAACTAGTATTCTCAACCTACATGTCTGGCTCCTCCCTCTACCAGTTCTCTGCTATAATGACTCAGGGAACTGAAAAGGATTCAGGCAACACATGTGAAAGGCTCAGAATTTTCAGAGTGACAGATGAGACAGAACAAGATTGTCAGTCACATGCCACTGCACTTGGAAAATGTGCCATCTGGGAGCTAGGTCTTCCAGGAGTGAGAAATGACTCTAGGCCCACTCTGAATAAGAATGCAAGCCTGTTGAGGAGGACACCTGTACTGGCAGAGATGGTCACTGCCTTTAACTATGACAAAGGAATATCCATAGCTGTTTTTTTGGGTTTTTTGGCAGTACTGGGGTTTGAACTCAGGGCTTTTCACTTTCTAGGCAGGTGCTCTAGCACTTATGCTACTTCGCCAGCCCTCATAGCTGTTTTTATTGAATCAGAAAGTCAACAATGGGCCCAGAATCATTTGTCATTTATAAAATTTTTTATTTTTCCAATTTAATATGAATGTATTGTTCTGCAGAAATATAGCATGTTTAACTATCAAGTCCAACTCTAGACTCAGAGCCATTAATTACCGCAGCAATGTTTTTGTTAAAGAAACTAGCTTGTCTTGCAGAATTTTTCAATTCTGGAATTGGCTGGTCATTTGACATGTTTTTTGTTGTTTTGACATGTGAAATATGGTATGTAAACTAGTAGGCAGGTAAGCCCGGCTCAATTTTGTTGTTGACAGTTGGGGAAACAGACAACTAAACAAAACAGTCTTCAAATTGAAATTTAGGGTAACAAATACCTAAATTATCTAGTCAACTTCTTGAAAAGTGAAAGAGAAAAAAATCTACCCTAAGCTGAAGAATATATGTTTACAATTAATGCTGGAATATCACAAAATAAAAGACAGGTGCTTTTCTGGGCAAGGATATGTAATAGGTGGTATTGTTTACTCCTTTTATATCATACCACGGAAGCACAGTCATATGTCTACTTGTCCATTTTTGTGATGTAAAGAAATAAGCAGGTTCCAGGTGTTGTCTGCTCGATCCATTCATTTAACGTTACCCACAAGAAAAAAAAAAGAAAAAAGAAAGAGAGGCATCCATGGGTTAAAAGCAATTTAAGTGCTGGCAGAGTGGCTCAAGGGACAGAGTGCCTGCCTAGCAAGCAGGAGGACCCTAAATTTTTTTTAAAAAGCAATTTAAGAGATGTAAACCAGTGGGCTTTGTCTGATTTGAACAAAGCAAGTATAAAAAAAGACATAAGAGACACTGTGGGAAATGTGATTGGTGGTATTAGGAATAATCGTGGTATAGGAATGGTAACGGAGTTATGCTTATGTTGTAAGTGGGGGGACTTAATCTTTCAGACATACACTGTGAAGAATTATGAATGAAATAAGGAATTTGCTGCAAAATAATCCAGAGCATGAGTGGGAGCGATGGGGAATAGATGGCAGCAAACATGAAATAAAATTGTCTGTGAGTTAACTGATGAACTTAGGTGGTAAGTACAAAGGTTCAATAAATGACTATATGTTTAAAATTACTTGTAATAACAAAAATTCAGGGTCAGGCACAGTGGCTCATGCTGTAATCCTAGCTACTCAGGAGACAGAGATTGGGACAAAGATTTGAGGCCAGCCACAGCAAACGCTAGCAAGACCCCCATCTCACTAAGCCAGGTATAGTGGCTTATGCCTGTGATCCCAGCTATGTGGGAAGCCATAGGTAGGAGGACTGAGGTCTGAAAACACTAGACCTGAAAAATAATTACAAGTTAAAAAGTGCTGCGGCATGGCTCAGTAGAGCACCTGCTGAGCAACCCAAGAGGTCCTGAGTTCAATCCCCAGGACTCCCCTATCCCTAAAATTTCAGATGTATTAAACAATTAAATTCCAAATGAGATAATCACATGAAAAACACAGAACCACAAAATAGAGGAATTGTAGAGGTCATATTTATATAAACTCAGGAAGGACAGCCTAATGCAAATGGCACAAAACGTAAAGAAATCAACTGATTTGGCTGTACACAAGAAGAAAAGTCCCATACGTAAAGCCGAAAGTTATACTGAAAAGTACTTGTATCAAATGACAAAAGGCAAAAGAAATTCTTCATAAAGTTGTTATTTATAACAACTGCCAAGTGCGGTGGCTCACTCCAGTAATCTTAGCTACTTGGGAGGCTGAGATCAGAAGGATCTTGGTTTGAGAACAGTCCAGGCAAATAGCTGAAAAGACTCCATCTCCAAAATAACCAAAGCAAAATGAACTAGAGGTGTGGCTTAAGCAAAGCATGAAGTAACTGAGTTCAAACTCAGTCCCACTAAAAGGAAAAGAGAGAGAGACATTATAGCACTAATCGTAACGGAGAGGCTGGGAATATGGGGAATAGTCAGGAATAGGCAAGCCTGGTACACACATCTCTACCTTAGAATATTAAGCAGCAGTTAAAAAATGAGAGAAATGCCTCTATTGCTAGAGGATGTGCATCCACACAGACAACTATGATGAAACTTCATCGGAATGAAAAAAAAACACACAACAAATCCAACTCACTAAACAAAAAAATTGAATATGCTAATGAATAAAGGGACATGAAGAGTATTATCTATCAGATTATAAGCTTTACTTAAGTTTTTCTTTTGCCTGTATTTGCTTTTCTTGTATTGAGTTATTATTTCTTTTGGTGGGAATGGGGTTTGAACTCAGGGTCTCGAGCTTGCAAAGCAGCCACTCCACCACTTGAGTCACGCTGCCAGCCCCAATTATTTTTGCAATAATAAAGTCTTAAAAAAACTTCATCCTATGGACTAGAGCTGTGGCTGAAGCAGTAGAGAGCCTGCCTAACAAGTATGAGGTGTTGAGTGCTGGTGGCTCACACCTGTAATCCTAGCTACTCAAGGTGCTGATGAAGAAGGTACGATTACAAGTTCAAGACCAGCCGTGGCAACTTTCTAAGACCCTGTCTCAAAATGAAATTTTAAAAAAGAGCTGACAGTCTAACTCAGTGTAGAGTGCTTGCCTAGAATGAACCAGGCCTTTAGTTCAATCTCTAGTACCGAGTAAAAAAAAGAATAAGCGTTAATGTTGACCCCACAAGGGAATATGCCTTACCTATTATTGATAAAAATTATAGGAACCTATGGTGTTTTAATAATGTTAAATCTCAGAACATAAATTGTCAATAATAATCTGTTCTAGCTGGTGGCTTATGCCTGCAATCCTAGCTACTTAGGAGGCTGAGATCAGGAGGATCTCAGTTTGAGGCCAGATTAGGCAAATAGTTAATGAGACCTCATCTCCAAAATAATCAAAGCAAAATGGACTGGAGGTGTGGCTCAAGCAGCAGAGTTCCTGCTTTGCAAGCTTGAACCTGTAAGTTCAAACCTTGGTCCTACACCTCCCCACCACCCCCCCCCCACGCATACAAAATCTGTTTAAAGGCAATGTATTTATCAGGGTAAGGAACATCTTTTGCTATCAGTCATCTATCACATTCTGCAACTGGTGTGAAAGAATCCATCAAACAAAAGCCAAAACTGGGCAATAGCGTTAGCAATACTTCACTCATGTTTCCCCACAAATACACATTTTCTGATAATAAAATTTTGCACAGAAGTTGGAATTCAAAAGGCTAACTGTATTTTACTTGAAATCTTATAATTACAGTACTTTCAGGAAAATAGTTGTCTGGTAACATAAATTGCTTCTGCATCAGTTCCACAAACAAGACAAGGACCTAAAACATCCAAACTGTTCACAGATAGAGTCCTGCTGGGAAGCAAGCTTGTGATTTCAATGCGGTCTTTGGCAATATCAGTGCTGAGCCAGGAACTCGTGAGCGAGTGGTGAACATTCGCCTGGTTACTAATGCTGAGAGATAGGAAAGTGCTGGTTCTTCCTCCTAGGGGAAAAAGAAAAGTGGTAAAACCTTTTAGACTAGTTTTATATTAGTAAAAATCAAACACCTATTCATATTTCAGAAAGGTGATGATTTCAACTTGGTTAATTCTGAGCGTAACAGGCACAAAAATCTCTGAGCAAAGAGACCTATTTGGTGATATTAAATACTCAATTTTCCAAGGAAAAATAAGGATACCAAACTTATAGTTGTCAGGCAAAGCAGAAAGTTTAATTGTGTTCTGTCTTTCTATATATCATTTAATGGAAAGTCTCAGAAAGGTAGCAAAAAGGGCCAGAAGACAGAAAGAATAAGTAAAGTGGGGGGTGGTATGACACCCAAATACACAAAAATTTAAGCTCCTAGGCAACAAAAATAGTGTTTATAAGAAAGAATTTCTGGATATATTTCCAGATGAGTATTTTCTAAAAATACATTTATTTCTGATTCTAACATATAATCAATCTACTTTAGGTATCCTCCCACTACCCTTTTAAAATAAATGATCCTTTTTTATTTTTGGTTTTTTAAAAATTTTTGGTGGTACTGGGATTTGAACTAAGGGCCTTGCACGTGCACTTCTACCATTTGAGCCACACCCTCACCCCTTTTTGGTTTTAGACGGGGTCTTATGTTTTTGCCTGGGCCAGCCTCAGACTTCAATCCTCCCACCTCCACCTACCACGCAGATCGGATTGTAGATGTGTCCCATCGTGCCCATCCCTATCTTTGGATAGGGCATCACTCATTTTTTGTCAGGGTTGGCCTCAAACCACAATTTTCCTATCTCTGCCTCCTAAGTAGTGGAGATTACAGGCATGAGCCAGTAATTTACTGCACCTGGCCCAATAAATGTTGAAAGTGTAATTTTAGAACATTAGATTATGAATTTTTGTCTCTTATCAGTATTCTGCATTTAATATAAATGAGGCCGAAGCAGTATATTTCAACCTCAGCCATTATTTACAATTTCCTTTTCTCTCAAATCAAACAAGGACTGCATTAACTCAACACATGGCTGAACACCTACTATGTGTTAAGTCTCTGTGCTAAGTGTCTAGGTGCTAACATATTGTAGGTTTAGGGGCTGAGGATGTAGCTCAGTGGTGGAGTACTTGCCTAGCGTATGCCAGGCCCTGGGTTTGATCCCTAGCACTACCCTCCACCACAAGCATAAAAGAAAAAAAACAAAAAGTAGGTTTAAACCTTCCTGGTCCTAGTGCCCTTGAACACCTAGTTAACTTCTTTCTCTAGGAAACCTTTGAAGACAACTCTAGTTCATGTGTCTCTTCCAGCCCTGGAACCCTCAGCACTGGAAGAGACATTACTAACATGTCACATTTGTTCCTTCTGCACATACCAGATAAGTGCTCTACCACTTGAACTATGATCCTATCCCTTTTTAGTTTTAGTTTTAAGACAGTATCTGGTCACTACCTTTGCCAGGTCTGGTCTTAAATTCATAATGCTCCTGCCTCTGCTTCCTAAGAAGCTGTGATTACAGGTATGCTCCACCATGCTGGCTCATTTCTTCTGCCGTTATTTAACTTGCAATGCCCATTCTCCATAAGTAACTCACCCCCGGACGAGGGATCAAACCCAAGGCCCCCTCACATACTAGGCAAGTGCACTACCACTGCACCACACGCCCAGCCCTTTTTATTTTTTGACACAGGTCTGGCTGAAGTTTCAATCCTCCTGCCTCAGCCTCCCAAGTAGCTGGGATTACAGGCTTGGCCCCAATATACTAGGCTTAAATCAAGTATTTCTTAGGAGCAGGTTACATTTTTATATTTGCTTTCACAGTATCTAGTGCTATGTCTCTTAATAGTAGATACAAAATACGGTATACAAAATATAGTCTTACTAAGTTTTCTCAAATAATAGGATTTCAAATGTAAGGTGGTAGGGGAAACGGAAGTAAAAACCAAGTATTTAGCTGAAAAAGAAGTAAAACTGTCAGTTTCTCCATAAGTAAAATCAGCATAGACTGCATACATGCTCCGTACATTTTTTACTTCCCTACAGCTTTTTTGTTGTTGTCGGGGGCAGTGTTACTGGGCAATTGAACCAGGGCTCTGTGCATGCTAAGCATGTACTCTGCCAATGAGCCACACCCCCCCAGTCCCATTCTCTGGATTTTTCTGTAGTTCCAAACTTTTTCCCTCAGTTTTTCTATTTATTTTTTTTACTGCTCCTGTATTTTATACTGTGGTTGAATACTATGCTATGGTTCAAAGCCAGCTCAAGGCAAATAGTTCAGAAGACCCTATCTCAAAAAACCCCATCACAAAACAGTGCTGGTGGAGTGGCTAGAGTGACAGAATGGCTTGCCTAGCAAAACCTAGCACCTGTGAGGCTCTGAGTTCAAGCCCCAGTACTGCCAAAAAAAGAAAACAAACAAAAAACTCCATACGGGTTGAGTGTCCCTTGTCCTCAATGCTTGGGATTAAAAGTGTTTAGGATTTTGGAATATCTGGTTTATATATATAATGAGCTATCTTGAGGGTAAGACCAAGGTCTACACAGGAAATTAACAGACTGAAGGAAATCTTATACAATAGTCTTAATGTGCCTGGGTTTTGACTGTGACACATCACATGAGCTCAGTTGTGGAAGTTTTCGTCAGGTTAAGAATGAAAAAGTTTCAGGTTTTGGAGCAGTTCAGATTTCAGATTTCTGGATTGGGAAAACTTAAAGAACCACTGTGAGGACTGGCCTAGCAAGCATGAAGCCCTGAGTTCAAACCCCAGCACTGCCAAAACCCTCACCGTTATAAGACTTCTTCCTGGTCCCCCAGCTTCTACTCTTCTACCCTCTCCCATAGTTTATTTTCCACAGCAGCCAGTGTTTCTTGAAATTGTAGCTCACACTGTGCTATTTCCTTGCTTAATTCTAATAGCTACCTATCACACTTAGAATAAAAATCTCAAGTCCTTATTATGGCCTACAAACTCCTATGGGATCTGTCACTCAGCTAGCAGTCCTTACCTCTCACTACTCCCCTTCAGTTAGGTGAACTGTACAGCGTTCGGCCTGTCTCAGGCCCTTTGCCTGGGATACCTTCATGTCACCCACACCTTCACTTCTCATAGAGGTCTGCCTAAACGTTATTTCTGTGATGTGGAATGTCCTAACAACCTCTCTCTAGCATAGCTCCCCTCCTTCCTTCTGCCTTTATTATTTTTTAAGGTTTGTATTTATTTTGCAGTGCTGGGGACTGAATTCAGGCCTGCACACACCAGACAAGGGCTTCACCACTGAGCTGTATCTCCAGTTCTCTGCCTTCATTCCTTATCCTCCTATTCTGCTTTCTTCTTCTTTACAGTAATTATCAGGGTATTTTGTTGTTTTCTTCCCATTTTGCTTTTAGCCTCCTTTCCTGTATGCCACTGTACACTACAGGGGATAGGAGTCTGTAAACTCCATTTTCAGGCTGCTGGAAGGTACCATCTGTCATCTAGATGGATCCTGCCAAAGAGAAGCTTTACTGGTAGGTGACTGGAAAGCAGAGGAGGGAAAAGCAGCATCCTTCCTACTCCAGGTTTCTGGCAATGACAACACTGGGAGCAGTTCTAGCCTGGTTAAGGTGGCAACTTTTCTACTGATTAAGAATGAACCTTAGCAGCATTTCCAATAGTACAGCAATAGAAGTATTAACAAGTTCTGATTTCTGGGTATTACCCTTTCTTCCTATTGGCTCTTCCACAGACCTCGTGTTCTCATTCTCTTTTGGCAGTACTGGGTTTTGAACTCAGGACTTTGGACTTTCAAGGCAGGGACTCTACCACTTGAACCACAGCCTTTTGTGTAGTTTATTTATTTTTGTCCTTCTAAGACATGTAAAACCAACTTGTTCTAAATCCAGAGTACTTTCTATTTTCTGATTGGACTGTTACTGATACATTACCTAGCTTTTTTTATTGTCTGGTGGAATAAATATATGTGTGTAGAAACTTTTTATTCAGCTTATTGTTATAGACCCCAACATTTATAGGTGTGCTTACCACAGGTGGACATTTCTGAATGCAGGAATGTATGAATTAATGGATGAAGAGACAGACAACTGAACTTTAGAACCACAGACAAACCCTCAAAAACAAGAAGCCTGGAAAATATGAAACAAATAAATGGTCGACAACAAACCCTGATTACTAGTGTGCAGTTTCTGGAGGAGCTTTACTTACTGCTAATTTTAATGAGGAGACAAGGACTTTTAAATAGGGAAGAACTAGGACCCTAAAATACGAAAGAGACAGTAGATGGTGGCTCACACCTGTAATCCTAGCTACTGGGAGGATCATGATTCAAGGCCAGCCCAAGCAAATAGTTTGTAAGACCCCCATCTCCAAAACAAATAGAGCAAAATGGACTGGAGGCATGGCTTAAGCAATAGAGTACCTGCTTTACAAGTGCAAAGCCCTGAGTTCAAAACCCCCAAAACACAAAAGATTACTTTCTTCTTGCCACACACCCTGCCTTGGCAATGTAAAATAAAAGAGCTGCCAAGGCCTATTCTATGGCATGAGGACCCAAGAGAAGGGTACTCACAAAGAAGAATCTTAGATGTCTGAAATAAGCCAGCTGATGGCATTTCCAGTCATCAGGAGTATAGAAGTAAGGAGCTAACAGTCCTGTTTCAAGCCCTATGATATTCAAATTTATTCTGAGGCAGGAAAATAGAAACATTTTACAAGTTTTTAATGTTAAAGATATTAGACTGTGGCCAGTGTGGTGGCTCACAAATAATTCTAGCACTGGGGAGAGTGAGGCAGGGGATGTTGAGTTCAAGGCTAACCTGGGCTACATAGCAAGTTAATGGCCAACCTGAATTATCTAGTGAGATTCAGCCTCAAAAAAAACAAAGACTGGGGAAGGTAGTTCAGTGCTTGCCTGGCAAGTGTGAAGCCCTGGGTTCCACCACCAGTGTTGGGAAAAAAAAATAAGAAAGTAGAAAATATCAGAAAATGATACATAAGAATCTAAGATGTTTTACCTTGGTGGAAGAGTGAGGACTTTTCAGGTACATCAGTGGAGACATCCCAGTGCCAGAGGGACCCATCTTCAGAACAAGTAAACAGATGATCTGGGTTGGATGGGTGAAAGTGAACTTCCCACACTAGGAGGTAAAAAGTGAGAAGCAACATTAAAACCCTAGTTCTAGGCACCATCTCCATTAGCCTCCATCACTTACCTATAAACTTTAAGTCAGTTAAAAATCAAAGGCTTCAGAGCTACAGAAAAGAGAATATAACTTCAGTTAATCTACTTGTGGACTGGGCCAGAAAAATGAATGAAAATAACCACTAAATTACGTAACCTATAATACTATTTATGGATATGAAAGAGAATGGGTCAATATTCAAAAAGCTTTTTTTATATTGGTAAGTCCACTTACTTTCTTTCTTCCTTTTTTTTTTTGTGATACTGGGGCTTGAACTCAGGGTCTTCACCTTGAGCCACTCCACCAGCCCTATTTTTGTGACAGGTTTTTTCAAGATAGGGTCTTGAGAATTTGCTCAGGCTGGCTTTGAACTGCGATTCTCCTGATCTCTGCCTCCTGAGTAGCTAGGATTATAGGCTTGAGAGCCACCAGTGCCCAGCAAGTCCACTTATTTTCAATTTCTGCATCATTAGTAGATAAAAGTGGTACTACTGGAAAGATTGAGAGAGACCATAACAAATGAATTTCTAAAGGAAGAATACAATACTGGCTCATGCCATGATTCTGGGTACTTCTGGCTTGTACCGCAGCAAACTAGTTCCAAGCAAATCAAAACTTGGAAGTGTTCTAAGAATTTGCATTCAGTAGCAGATGGAGGCCTTCTAAGAAGCTACACTGGGATTGCTACTCCACTCCCAACCACAGCTCTAAAACTTTAAGGGAGCCAGGTGCTAGTGGCTTATGTGTGTAACCCCTGTTACAAAAGAGGCAGAGATCAGGAGGATCTTGCCTAGAAGGCAGCCCAGGCCAATAGTTTACAAGACCCTGTCTCAAAAATACTCAACACAAAAAGGCTGGTGGCATGGCTCAAGTTGTAGAGCACTTGCCTAGCAAGTATAAGGCCCTGAGTTTAAATCCCAGTACCACCCCCCCACACACACACAAACTTTAAGGGAACTTTCGGTATACGTAGACATCAGGCACCCAATGACTAATCAGGGCCCATGGGAAGTTATTTGCAGCATGCAGAGGAAACAGGTCTCTGAACAGTGTTCTGTGAGTCTGGGCTAGTCACTTGAGAGTGCCTAAATGGGATATAGAGTGAATGGCGCAGGTTTCTAAGGTGAAAATCTTTTGACAGCTACTGCAATTAAATACTATGCCACAAAGCATAAGAAGGTCACCTTCCTCAGGAGAAGAATGTGTTCTGGGGTAAAGTTCTCATAGAATACATTCAAACTATTTAAAATAAAATGAGAGGCTGGGAGTGTAGCTCACTGGTAGGGAGCCTGGCTAGCCTGTGGGAGGCCCTGGGTTCAACACTCAACTGCAAACAAAACAAAACCAAAACAACAATAACAAAATGAAATAAAACATCCTATAAAGTCACGACCAGACTGTCTAAATCTACATTTTTAAGTATTTATTTTCAAAGTAGAAAACAAACTTCTGGGGTGGTGGAGTGGCTCAAGTAGTAGAGCACCTGCTTAACAAGTGTGAGACCTTGAGTTCAAACCCCAATACCACCAGGAAAAAAAAAAAAAAAAACTCCTATAAAACACCCTACTTAATTTCTAACCAGAAGTTAGGATGAATTCAAAATAAAACATTATAAGCCACTGTATTTGTGTGCCTTGATTAACAATACAGGCTGGCAGTTAAAGGGGGACAGGGAGAAAGAGATCTCAGAGGTTGGGGGAGACCAGGGGCAGAACTCTTGCCTAGCATTTGTGAGGCCCTGGGTTTGATCCCTAGGCACTGTAAACAGAGAGAGATCTGAAAGTTTTTAAGTCTACAACAAGGTTAGCCAACTTAGAATTTATGAGGGTATACCTTATTCCTCTTTTACCCTTTTTTGCTCTTAGGCACAGCTATAACTGGGAAAGGCAAATAATTTTCTATCTTTTACTTCCTTCTTTTTTTTTCCCAGTGGTACTGGGGTTTGATCTTTGGGCCTTGTACTTGCTAGGTAGGCACTCTACAGTTTGAGACAGAAAGCCAGCCCTTTTTTGTGTTGGGTATTTTTGAGATAAGGTCTCATGAACTATTTGCCAAGGCTGGCTTCCAACTGTGATCTACCTGATTTCTGCCTCCCGAGTAGCTAGGATTACAGACGTAAGCCACTAGTACCTGCTTTAATGTAATCTTAAAGTCATTTATTTTCCAAGAAAATAATGTGAAATTTGTAATTTAAACAGAGAAGTTGCAGTATTCGTTCTATGCTTGCTTTCTTGTACTTTTATTCGAGTTTAAAATAAACTTCTTTGAAATTAGAATTTAAACTATAATTCATTTTGATAGAACAACAGCCTGTATATTTATTGGACTTGTTAAAAAAATAAGTACAACTGAAGAGCCAAACTGATTAACAAAATTAAAAATAACAGTTTGCATTTACATGGGAAGAGGGCATTCTCACACACAGATAAAATGAACTGGTATTTTTATGTAGAACAATCTGACAACATGAATTACAACTATAAAATTGTGCAAATATTCTGGCCATCAATTCTGTTTCTAAAAAATTATCCTAAGAAAACAAGTGCATAAAGATGACAATCTCTTTACTGAGGTTCTGGCTCTATGTACTTATGTCATGTAATTCGCCCAGGAAAAACTTTCTGCATCTCTACAATACTTACTTTCAGCTTCGTGAGCCTTCAGCAGCGATACAGGCATAGTGCCTTGTCTCACATCCCAAATACTCAACATTCCATCCTGGCCTCCAGTGGCTACAATATGCTGCTGGTTGGGATGTCTATCAACACAGTGGAGTGGTACTCGGTCACCAGTCCTTTTGTGGGAGATACAACAGTATCAAATATGTGGTAAAGTATTTATCTTTGCATAAATCCAGAAACATCATTGTACTAACTGATAATTACTTAGTAGCTAGAGGTAGTAAGTGATGCCAAAAAATTAACTGGATCAGATATATTTTAAAATAGTTAGAAATTTTTAGTATTAAAGGTCAAAATTATTCTCTCTTCAGTTTGGAAACCCTAGAAGCAAAATTACCTAATGGCAAGATGTATAAAACACATTTCCATTTCTAAAGTTTTAAAAAATATGTATCAACTATGCTAAATACTCTTTACTTACATCTTACCTTGTGTTCACCACCTAAGTAGCTGGGTTTATAGGCATGTACCATCACATCCAGCTACTTACATCTCATTTAATGCCTAGTTAATATGAATTTTTTTCTGTCTGTCACATTCTATTTTCTGTTTTGTTTTAAGACAGGGTCTTGCTACGTAACCCAGATTGGCCTAGAACTCAAGATCCTCCTTCCTTGGCCTCCTGAGTGCTAGAATTACAGGGGTGTGCCACCATGCCCAGCTAAACTGACACATTTTATTTTCTTAAGAGAGAAGTCTGCAAACTTAGAAAAGGGGATTTCTGCTCAGAAAAAATATTCTGTATTGTATCTTACCCCCAATCACATTTACAGTATATTTTACCCACAATCAATACAATCATCTGATGAGCAGAAACAAGTTCTCTAATAAATAATATAAACTTCAAAGACATAAAGGTTCTGCTGAATCAATACAACAAATATTTACTAAATGGAGCATGACTGTTATCAAGCCCATCATGTTACACTTGCTTTATTAAAGTTGATCAGGAATCACTATCTTAAAATACTGTATGATTTGAAAGTCAGTTGCTATAACCAATTGAACAAATTAATTTAGTGTTACACTACTGAAATTACAAATCAAAACTTACAGTGATAATATCTGAGAGGGCTCATTTCCTTGTTGTCTGAAATCCCAAATTTTTAACTGTCCAATTGAATTGACTGTAAGAATCTCAGGAGTTCGAAGGAAGGTTACAGCATGAAGAGTACTGCTATCTGCATTGTCTACACGTTTAAAAATTGGCAGTGTATGTTAATAGGTCCCCTTTTCACAAGAAAAATCTTAAATCACATTCCATCTATTGAAATACTAGAAATGAACATTTTAGTTATAGTTTAATTTCTATGGAAAAACGCACAATAACATACATGTTTATACATATTCTCCTCTAGTAGAAAAATATCACCCACAGGACATTTGAGCTGTTTTCTGAGTGGAAGGTTGAGTTCTCACATATTACTTTTTCTCTTTCTTCTTAAGATTGGTACCCTGCATTTCTAAGGTCTCTGTTCAAGTTCCTGTGTACTAATCTTATTTCCCACTCATTCTTGACTAAATCCCAGTGCTTCCTACAAAGCTCTCTCTGACTTCTATTACTCGTTGACTTATGTCAAATATATTTGTCTTTACTCTCATGAGCTCCCTCCTTCCCCATGAAGTCTATCCTGATTGTTATAATGGTCCTTTCCTTAGATTTCCTTGTGTCTAAAACTTAAGGCATATAATTTAATACATACTTTGAAACATGTTTTCGTGCTACTCCTCCACACTACCACCAGGCAATGGCTTTTTAATAATTAATTTAATTCAGAAATGAAAATCATGATAAAAAATACAAAAAACTAGTGTTTGAGCTCGATCCCTAGGGATTCTGACCCAAGAGGTCTACAGTGGTAAACTGCTGACTCCAGACAAGCCAGTGGGAGGCATCCTGAGAATCACTATGCTAAAATAATCTTTTGAAGCACAACCCTTGCTCTAAAACTTCCTTACGTTTCCAACTAAAAAATAACCTCTGTGGCTTTGCATTCATCACAATCTGGCCCCAATTTACCTTTCTGGCTTCATCTTTCATCTCTCCCATATAAATATTGAATGTCAGGTCAAAGTATAATTTTTTGCTATTTGCTATATAGCTTTACTCTGCCTCCATTTGTTAGTGTATCATCTCGTAGTATTATTCATGGTCTAGAACAGATTAATTTAATTGCCATTTGCTCCCTGGTTTGTTATATGATAATCCCTTTTAGCAAAAAGAAAAAAAAAGTTTCTCCTCTGTAGACAGTCATTCACACTGACCTCATCAACAAACATACTGACTTGACAAAGACAAATATACGTATATTCAAAGTCATGTGTGTGTATATATATATATATGCGTTACATATATATATATAAAATATTATATATATATATAAACATATATGTGGTGTTGCTGGGGTTTGAACCCAGCGCTTTGCCTGTTAGGCAAGCATTCTACCACTTAAGGCACCGCCTTCCCCTCCCCCACCCCCTGGCCCACCTTGTATATTTTATATCCTTCGAACACTTAGCACTATATTTATTCAGCATATCGTAAGTGCTCAATTACTCTGTGATAGATGAAAGAAATACGATTCTTCTTACCTATAGTTCTCACAGCGTCCTTGTGATCAACTCTGAAGAGATTTATTCGACCATCTTCTCCAACTGTGACAATTTCTGGGTTGTCACACACAATACCTGTACATGGTGCACTGCTATAGGAAGGACTGCCAGGACCTGTGTGATAGTGAGCTGCTGTCCACTGCTGGTTGACTGACAGAGTCTAGGCATCAGAAATAAGAATAATATCAAACAAAGCAAACTTCTAAAAATGATTTAAAAAAACCAAAACCACTTGTCCCCAATAATAGTATTTTTAAATTCTATGTCACACTAATTCTTTTCTGTACTTTAGAGTATTTATGTCTAGAAACTGCTTCCATTAAAGCTCTGTGCACACTGAATTAGACTCACAAGGAATGTTGTTCAGTATGGTTCCATAATCACCTCAAACTTAATGATTTTTAGCTAACAGGTAGTTGAATGTTCAAAAACAATTCTTTAAATACTTATGGGAACAACCCTACATGTAAGAAACCTCTACATCTTTCCTAAATGCTACTTCTTTTTCTGTATTTAGGAAAAATACTTAACAAGATCTGAGTTTTAAAATTACTAGGCATGCCTATTAGTAAGGTGACCATTTTAATCCCTAAATCTAATGAGCATTCTTCTTCAGCAACCTAAAACTGCGTTATTAGCAGTGGGGCTTGTATAAAGAACTGCCCTCCCCAACATTCTCTGAAAAGGTCACGTCTTGAGGCAGTGGATCCTCTCTCTTAATGAAGACCTGAGTTCTACCCATAGAAGCAAAGTAACTGTTCTTGCTCTCACTCATGGTATCTGAGCTAGAAAGTGCTCTTTCTTCCAAAGACTAGAATAATAACTTAAAAAGGAACTACAGGAAAATCAACCACCAGAATACCATGTTATTAGATCTAATTAACAGAATATATTTAAGGGATGTCCAGTTTCCATAAAAACAAAAACATGATTCCAGACTTAAATCTACCAAAAAATGAGTAATATAGGGCTGGGAGTGTAGCTCAGTGGTAGAATACATGCTTGACACATCTGAGAGCCTGGGCTTAGTCCCCAGCACCTTCTGTCACCCTGAAAAAGTAGGCAGTATTTTTCCCTTTCAAGGTTTTTTTTTTTTTTTTTTTTTTTTTTAACTGGATGGTGTTATGTTGCCCAGGCTGATCCTGAATTCATGAGCTCAAGTAATCCTCTTTACTCAGCCTCCAATATAGCTGGGGCTATAGAAATTTGCCACCAATCCCACGTCCCTTCATGTTTAAACACTATAAAACTTTATTAGTTGTGTAATTATTAAGCACAATCTTTTTTAAGCCTTCTTAAAAATAATTAAAATACAAAATTACTTTTCAAATAGAAGTTCTTTACCTGGTTATTTGGATGATGAAGGAAAACTGTTACACATCCTGTTGATGAAGCAGCAACAATTCTTTCCTGGTCAAAAAACTAAATAGAAAATTCTTGCTTGTTAGAGATTTACAGATTCAGAAGTTGAACAGGAAAGTGTATTTGTTCAACTCAATTAATAGTAAACACAATACAATTTAAAAAAGCAAACAGCCTATAAACATTAAGCAAATAAAGTGTTAAGAGATCTGAAGTAAAGATTTCTATACAAATAAAAGTATTTTCATGAACAATAGTTTTCAACTAAACTTACTTTTTTCTTTTTTTGAGATGGGGCCTATGTTAGCCAAGCTAATCTGAAACTCCTGAGCCCAAGTGATCTTCCTGTCTCAGCTTCCCAAAACTACAAGCATCTGACACTGCATCCAGCTTTGGAAACTTAATTTAATACCGACTACTTATTATTGGTTTTGAGACCTTTTTAGAGAACCTAAGTTCTCTAAGTTTCAGTAAATCTTTAAAATGGGAGAATTAACATCTACTTAGGACAGCTATGAGAATTCAAAACCCAATTCCATGTAAACTGCCTGCATAGTACTTACTACATAGTATAGGCTTAAAAAATGTTATTTTAAGCTTTCTCGCCGGTAAAGCCGAGATAACAATACTTGAGGGCTGGGGATATAGCTCAGTGGTGGACTGCCCTGCATCTCTAAATGTATTTTTCTCAGATTTTAAAAGCTAGCTTTTGGATACAACACAGATTTACCTGTAAATCCATGACATCACCATGGTGTTTGATATCACACAATAACTGATGGTCTCCTTCAAACCCTCCATCAGAATCCAAGTTTCCAAAATCTCCAATAGACCACAGTGAAACGTAATTTTCCTGTAAAGCAGAAGTTTTATCTTGAGATAACGTAAATGTCAACTCTCCGGAAAGTAAAAATTCATATTGCCTTCAGGCAACCTTGCTTCCGAAGCATATCATACCTCAAGACGTATGATATGGTAAGAGTTTAAAACATAACGAAGTGCGAGGCTCAGGCACACCACAGCTCGGGACCAGGACAAAAGGAGCCATAAAGCTTGAGTTGCGCGCGCGGGCGGCCAGGGGCGGGGACCCCCACCCCGGGAACTGGGGTACCTCATTATCCCAAGAACCCGTAGCAAAGGTCTCCGCAGTCTGTAGACTCCCGGGAGGCAACGGTCGCCAGCGGGTTTTGCTGATTTTCTGAGACACAAACTTCGCACAAATTTCCTCCATGCTGAAATCAACCACAGCAGGTACAGCAAAAAGCACAAGGCGCGCCTCTCGGTCCCGCCCCTTCCCGCGAGTCATGATTGGCGGAGACCTCGCGAGGGACGGTGGCCGCCGAGAGCCAATTCTCGCCAGTGGGCGGGACAAACCCGCCGCTCCCGAGCTGGGGCAACCTGTACAGCTCAAAACCGAAGCAAGAACGCCTGTGCCCCTGGGCAGTAAGGACTGCGCCGAACTCGCATAATCAGTACAGGAATGAGACGACGCATTTGTGCATCCTCCTCCTTTTTTGGTGGGACTAAGGTTTGAACTAAGAGCTTCAAACTTGCAAAGCAGGTGCTGTACAGCGTGAGCCACACCTCTAGTACATTTTTCTCTGGTTATTGTGGAGATGGGGGTCTCTCAATCTATTTGCCAGGGCTGGGCTTGAATGGCAGTTCTCATGACGTTAGCCTCCCGAGTAGCTAGGATTACAGGCATGAGCCACCCGCGCCCAGGCTATATGTTTCTCGATGAGCCCAGTCCATGATGATCTAAATAAACACACCACCAAGGATCTAGACCACTAATGGCACTTACACTCTGCCCTCTGTTGCAAGTGTTCTTTTGAGGCAGACCACCCCCATTAGAATGTAAATCATACTAAACACGAAGGTATGACTTATTCATCTTTTAAATCTCCTTTACGGTACAGCTAGCTGTTCATAACTATGTGTTGCTTGTTTAAAAGGGACCATCTCATTGGGTTACTTTTCCCCCTGATATTGGTAAGTGCTGCTTCACAGCAATAGTTTGTGGAAGCAGTGCATGTAAATGTAATCCATTGGGTCAGAGAGCTATCAGGTCCCTGCTAAGGGCTTGAGTTTTTTTTTTGTTTGTTTGTTTTTGTTTTTTTTTTTAAAGCAAGGAGTCTGTTACCCACTAGGACCATTTTGCCCAAGTGAAGCATGCCAATCATTCAAATGATGAGTTTTGTACAAAAGAGTTTATTCATGAGGTGTCCAAGTATGTGCAGACAGGAGAGAAGTCTCAAATCTTCCTCTTAGATAGGGTTCGCAGGATATTTAAGGGTTGTGGGGTGGGAGAAAGTGATTGGATTAAATTTGACTGTTACCATCATGACCCTTCAGCACATAGGTGTTATCCACAGTCAACAAAAAGCAAGTAACTCTAAGACCAGATGAAGTAGTTTAAGTATAGAAAAGCAAGTAATTTTAACAGCAGATGTGGGCTAGATTACTTATTCAGGGACTAAGAGCAGATGGTTTATTCGGGTTTTCCCTGGGTGTCAAGACCATGAGGAGACTGTAGGGAGATGGGATGGAAAACTCTTAAATGGATGAGAACCCCAAATTCACTTTTATTCCTATCTAATAATGAAATAAAAAAGTTTTGCTGGTTGTAGTGTTTATGCCTGTAATCTCAGCACTCGTGAGGCAGAGGTAGGAAGAACCAAAGTTGGAGGCTGGATTGAGCTACACAGAAAGATCCTGTTTCAAACAAAACAACACAACTGGCAACAAAAAAACAAAACACTATTTTGACATGTGGTTTCATTTATGGTCACAGTAACCAAGATAATAGGTAATGTGTATTTCAGATTGTAAGTAGGTAGTCACATTCGACAAAATTTGGTATGAACTAGCATTTGGAAGTTGCTGCTGATGTGTTAGCACAGATGTATTGACAGAGTTTTGCTTCCTTTCTGAAAGTTTACTGTACTAACTGACCGGTGGATCCCGTCAGTCTCAGTTCTATTTAGGAGTCAGCAATTTGGATGTGACAAGCAGGGCTCTCTGTCAGCTTCTCATGCAGGGTCTTACAGAGCAATAAAGCTGGTGATCAGGCTAAGGGTGGAATTTGTGAGGCTTAATTAGCTGAAAACGCACACTTGCATTGGGAGAATGTCACAGTCGCCATAGGATAACGTGGTATTGTTTAACCAATTATCGCTCTCCACGCTTGTTTTGTTTTAAATTAGCGAAGCACCTTCCCCCGCCCCATGTCATGAGGTTCTTCCACTCTTAATTTGCTCATGTAATTTGAGTTGAAAACAAACCAAGGTCCCAAAGTCTTTAATTAAAGAGTGACACGCTTGTTACAGAGCCAGAGGCTGGGGGTATTCGGGTTAGAGAGGGCCTTTGTCCTTGGGGTCTATTAAGATCATTGTTACTCCGGCCCCATCACGGGGCGCCTAGACTCCCCAAATATTAGCCAGTGGGGTTGGGTGAGGCAGAGCGGAGTTAGCCCACCGTCTAACAATCCGGACAGCCATAGGAGCAGATCCGCCACCGCTCGCAACAGCTGACCGGGCGGCGACTGCAGAGCCACCTGCAGCGGCGGCACAGATCACCCTGTCAATCCCGCCGGCCTTGCTCAGTGACCGGAGCCGCACCCCGGAACGCCATCCACCGGCCTGGCCTCAGGGCGAGGGCGGTGCGCAGTCGGAAGCCTCAGAAAGAGGGACGCGGCGACGCTGACTCAGCCCGGCCTCCCTGCGGTCGCGGAGCAGCCGCAGCCACCGCGCGGGCAACGGGCCTCCTCCTACCCTCTTGCCCCACCCGGCCGCACCCCGGGCCGCGAGGCGTCACAGAGCGCATGCGTGCCGCGGGGGATGCCGGGAGCGCGCAGTGGCGGCAGCGGCGGCGACGGCAGTAACAGCGGCGACTTCGGCGGGGACGCGGGCGGGGCGGTGACCGTGTGGGAGGTGGTCTCACTCTTGGGGAAACTGCTGGGCACCGTCGCCGCGTTGAAGGTGGTTCTGTACCTGCTCCGGGTGTGCTTAGCGATGGCCTGGAAATCCGGCGGCGCCAGCCACTCGGAGCTAATCCACAATCTCCGCAGTAAGTGCCACCCCCGCTGGTGTGGGCCAGCAGGGGCAGGCTGGGCCTGGACTGGATCCCCCTGGGCACCCGGAACGTTCTGTCTGCACCCCCGCGCTTGTTGGAGGGCTTCGGTGCAGGGTTGCACCGGTAGTCCGCAACGGCGAGCGCTGGCGATCGCCTCCCCCGGGACCTGTCACTTGGCGACTAGGAGGGAAAGGTCAAGGGGCCGCAGCTGGGGGGACGGGGCAGTCCTCTCCCCGCAGGCCTGGGCGACCGACTGGTCGCGGCGCTGGTGGTGGGGTTGTCCCTGGAATCCGCGGTCCGAAAGGCGAGGGGCGTGACTTCAGGGGCGGGGGCGGGGGTGTGGGCCTGGATTCCTAGTGACTGGGCTGGGACCCGGTCCCCCTACCCCGTATTTTCTTATCTTCCTCCTCCTGCTCCATGCTGATTCCCTGCAAGCTTGCTCTCATATTCGGCTCCCCCGCCCTCGGTTTTTTCCTCTGGAGGGAGATGCCACCGTCTGATACCGGCGAGGGGAGGGCGAGGAAGATGAGTTTTGCCACTGCGGGTGCTGGGAGAAATTTCTCCGGCTAATGGAAAGCTCCCAGGGGGGCGGAGAGAGAGACAACCGGGGGATGCTGTTCCTGAGATACTTGAACCTCTGGAGCCTTTGGAGGTCCTGGCCCAGCCAAGTATCGTGGATGTGGAATGTGCTAACTTTTCCGGGCTGCTGTCGGCTTTAAGAACCTTGTACGGAAGTTTCTTCATATCACTCTTGCAGTTACTGGTATTCCTTCCTCTGATGGACATGTTCGGGTGGAATGAGTGCTGTGTCATTGTCTTTTTTAAATTGTCACTGTCTGATCGGAAGATCAGAAGAATCGCAGTCCATTATAATCTCACTGGTCAGAATTTATAGTTCTCCTTGCCACTGACTTCGCAAATCATATCCTTCGAGGTGATTATTTTAATTGTTCTGTGTTTTGTAGCTTTTCATGTGTTTGTCTTATCTCTCAACTCTATTTGTAATCTTGAGAGCTAGGACCATTAAAAAAAAAAACTGAATCAAAGAACTTAATGCTCATTCCTTTTTTTCCACAGATGCCAGTGAGGTGCCCATTAATTATATGCCTACATCTGTGCTAGGATTATAAAGGTCAATGGGAGAAATAAGTAGAACTGTTTGGCACTTAATATATTCATCACTGGACTTTTTTTTATTAATACTGAAAGTGGGGATTGTGTTTTTAATATTTAGTAACGAAGGCTAATGAAGTGTGTTTAGACTTTTTTTTTTTTTTATTTTGGCAACACTGGGGTTGGTCTCATGCTTGCTAAGCAGGCACCCTTACTGTTTGAGCCACTCTTCCAGCCTGTGAAGTGTGTTTAGATGTCAGAATTGTGTCAGTCATTGCCAGCATTTACTTTATGGAAGAATATTTTATTGAGAGTAGATGTTTATGGACTAAGGCAATAGTAGGAAGTGATGTAGGTTTTCATGGATTGCACATAAACACAATATGTTGTAAATATTGTAATGAGCTTTCTTAACATGGTCTGAGTCCCTACTCTTACAGTATACAACATTCTGTACATGAATTGTGACTAAGTAATTTTCCACCAGTAGGTTATCACAGTAGACACTTGGCAGTGGCACAAATTTATAATCTATCAGGCTCTTAAAGTCTCTCCATTTTGGGCCAAATTTCTGGTAAGCAAAGATTCGATCTTCCCAGTGGTTTATAGTCACTTTAATGTATTACTGTTCTTAGCAAAAATTTCTAAGGATATTTTTCTGTCAGAAAATTTAATAAGGAATATTTAACATTCATGAATGTTGCAAGTACTTAAGTTTTACACTAGATGTATGACTGGAAAGAGGAAATCAGAGAATTCAAGTTGTTTAGCTTCTTTTGTAACACTTGTGCAACTTTAAACTTCTTACTGAGGTAGTTCTAGCTAAGTTATTTTTTATTTATTAGCTTATTATTTGAGCTGGGCATGGTGGTATCCATCTATAATCCTAGCAGTCACATTGAGCCAGGAGAGGATCATGAATTCAAGGCCAGCCTTGGTTTATAGTGAAACACTGTCTCAAAAAACAAAACAAAACAAATAACAAATTGCCTATGTGAAAATTGCTTTTGACACACAATTTGAAATATTTCTTTATTTTTCCTTGGTGTGCATTTTTCCTAAGTAATTTTTTTTTTTTGGCAGTGCTGGGGGTTGAACCCAGGCTAG